GCATTTCTCCCGTCGATCTTCCACAGACCTCTGCAATAGTATATCACAGAACGGTCTGAGTTGGGAATGAACGTTAAAGATCATCTAGTTCCAATGCCCTGCCATGGGCAGGGACACCTCCCACCAGCCCAGGTTGCTCCAAGCCCCATCCAACCTGGCCTGGAACAATTCCAGGGATGGAGCAGCCACAGCTTCTCTGGGCAACCTGTGCCAGTGCCTCAGCACCCTCACAGGGAGGAATTTCTTCCTAACATCTAATCTAAATCTCTCTCAGTTTGAAGCCATTCACCCTTGGGTATAGAGTGGGAAACACCAGCTGACACAGATGAGACAGTTCTCACAAGCCTGAATAACTTAAAGCAATAATCCTCTTCCAAAAAATAAAGGCAAAACCCAAACCCAACAAAACATGTCCTAGATAATTTTAAAAAGAGATTCTCAGCCTATGTTTTTTCCCCTTCCTAGTGTTATCAAACACTAGCAGGAACAGCACCATGGAGGTAGAACTAAGATTGTTGTGTTTAAGACAAGAGTTACCATAGCAAACATTAACTTAATCAGTAGCTCAGTGAAAAGGCACAGTGCCCATTTCTTATCTCTAAGGCTTTATCCATACTTTTAAAGAGCATTAATTTTACCAGTGAAATCACATGGCAAGCTCTTAAGTAAAATGTGATTTATTCAAGAGGGTTCATCTCAGATAAACGTTTTTTCCCAGCACCCCAAAAAACCCCAAGTTGTTTTCACATACAAGAGATTATTGAACCCAAACTTATCAGCTGCTACAGAGCAAATAAAAGTCCAGCCCATAGCTGTGGAAAGTCTGCAGTGTTAGAAAGCAAACAGAAAAGTAAGCCTGTGTTTAAAATAGATTGGAGTGTGGAAATCCACAGTTTGACTGTGACAAAGAAACTGATAACAGTTAAGACCAGTTTATCATGAGGAAGTGCATGAAGTCTTTCAAAGTTTTTTTCCAGAGAAGCAGAGACAGTTATAAAAGTACTGAGAGACACGAAATAGGCAGCGGCAGATGAAATCACACCCTCCCCAAATCAGAAATAAACTTGTGACACCAAAACTAAGCCCAGTCAGACCCTGATCTGTATTGAGCCATTGCCCATATTGTGTATTTCCATCAAGGGCAGAGGTAGCTTTTGGCCTGGGTTATACTTAAGTCATCTAACAGCAACCTCTAGTGGTGTTTGCCGACAGATTTGTCCCACATCTTCAGCACGAAAAGGGGGAGGACACCAGACAAACCCCAGCAGCACCAAGACCCTGTTCTGAGATTAAAACCAACTTGCTTCCAGGGAGTCATAGAAGGTACCAGAACAGTCTTTGCACTGTTCCTACTCCCATCACCAGTTTGACCATGACACCTTGTGCAAAGGAAGCCTTGAGTTCACCTGAGATAAAACAAAGTACACAACCTCCATTGTTTTAAGTGCAGCATCACCAAGTGTGATGTAGTGCCATTGGCTGAACTCTGAATAAATAACCCAGACATGAAGTCTTGGATGCTCAAGACTTAAATTTCCTCAAGTCCATTTTAAAGGCAGTTCCTAACCAACATGTTCTTGTCCGCACCAAGCAAACTCCCATTGTCTGAGGGGACTTTAGTAATACAAGTGGGTGCCATCTCATTAAAAACTAATTTATATCATGTCAATTGAGATAATTTAATTAGTTACCCATCTACCCACAGACTTTCTAGGGATATTCCAGCAGTCAGAGCTTTGAATGCCTTCTCTGTAAAAGTAACACCATCACATACAAGTCTGCCCAACCAGAAGGATCAGAGGGATTTGGCACATGTCCTCTAAACACTGAAATCAGCTCATGCAGGATTTCATAAACTGTATTATAGACAAAAATCTATTTTGAGCTTAAACATGAAAATTCAGCATTGCAGGAGTACACTCAGAAGGATTTTGATAGAGCCAGTTTGAAGTGCAGAGTTGATCCTTCTGTTCAACAGGGGAGAAGACACAGAGTTTCTATTACAAAATACTTTCAAAGTGCCACCTTAACATCCAATCTATTAAAAGTACATTCGTTTGGCAAGTTTTTCAGCTTGACAGAAGTTGTCAGAACTCAAGTGGATTACAGACAGATAAGAAAGAACAGAACATTTCAAACTACAGAAATGCATCATTTGCTGCACAACTGGCTCCAGGAACACCCTTGGCTTCTGTTCCATGCACAGTAATACCAAGCCAGGTATTATTCTTAGTTGCTTTATGGGCCATGTCATGATGATTTCTTGAAACCCTTTAGAATGGGGTAGATGTTCTCAAATGCCTCATAGATCTCAGAACGTTCTTTTGCTCCTAGAAAAGGACATTTAGGAAAAAAAAAAGCATTAGAGCGTTGAGAGTAACTGAATGCAGCTCAAACCTAATAAGATTGCAAACCATGAAGAAATCCAGGAGTTTAAAAGCACCTTACTGTTAGTTTAAGGCAGAGTTCCTATCATACTTCTGCCACCTCAAAGAACAATTTCTAGCTTGCTTTGCTTTAAGACTAGTTTTCTTTAATCTGTGGAACCAAAACAGCAATTTTCTGCTCTTGACAGGCACAAAACATTGGCTTTGAAGGAGGAAGAAGGCAACTAAGAAGAATCATTGTGTTATCTGCTTAGAAGTAACAGCTCTGCCTGTTGATAAGGTAAGTGGAAAGGCAGAAACAAGATGTGAAGGGCATTTATGCACTACTGAAGTTGATCCACAGTTTGAGAATTCTCCTCCAGCCCTGAGAAGCATTTTTATTTCTAAGCTGTGTTAGGGCACCTGTGATTCCAAAGCCTTTTCCATGGTACTGCAAGCAAATCTTTAATTCCATGTCTTACTCACTAACTGCATTGCAGTAGGCAGGAACACTCCTTGCCAGTGCCACTGCTCTGTCATGCTGGTACAAACTACAGGAAAACTGCATTTAAAGGAACTAACAGTTGGAATAAGTCCCTTTCAGGATGAATGCATAAGCCTTTTCCTTGTGTCCTCACTTGGACATGACTAACTCATCTGCTTTTACCTTTAAAAGTGGAATTACTTTCAAGTTACTGTCTTGCTTTAGAAAAAACCTCACAGCTCAGCAAATTCAGTTTTACTATTACAGTTGGGCCCAGAGTTCACCCACACTAAGGTCTTACCTTAGTGCTTCTGGGCATGCTGCACACTCCAGTGTGGTACTTGCATTTTTTTGGCTACACTAATTTCATCAGTGGAAAGAAACTGGGCAGTATGATTTTACTGGACCTAAGCAGAAGGTAGTGGACACTGGAGTGGGAAGTATTGAAGCTTTGTAGTGAGTGCCTCATTCTTCAGTTAGCCAAGCTCATTCATGATCTATGACTGTGAGAATCTCTGGCTAAGGCAAGCACTCCTCTTTTGTCTTTCACATGTCTCAAGGCTGTGTTGTGAATATAAATACAGCACTCAGGGCTTCTGGGAACAAGTGCCACTTACCTTTCAGTACATCTGAATAGAAGCATTTTCACTAGCTTTACAGAAAGAATGTGTTCAGAACTAAGGAATTCACTTTTTCCAACGTGGGATCTGAGGTACAGGTAGACAGCAAGTGCTGAGTGCACTAACTCAAAGGCTTTTGCCTCACAAGTGTCTTGCTAAGGTCTGGAACAAGTTTTTAGCTCTCCACCCTTTCCTCTAATAATCCCTACTAAATGCTGTCAGTAAAGTGTTTTAAGAAGTTTGCTTCCTGTCCAGGCAATTTTAAATTGCTTATTGTGAGGTTCCTATTTAAGTGCCTGAGTAGTTAACAACATGTCAGCATCCTGTTGGCATTCTGTACATTGACACATGGCATCATGCTTTGAATAAAATAAAAGATACTCAAGTAACATGGAAATCTGAGACTGTATATGAAACAATACGAGATTCTAGTGGAACAATACTGATGTTATCTGCAGAAAACACAGATAAGCAGCAGCAGGCATTAAAGAGATCCCTGAGTGGCTTTACTGGGGCAAGACATTAGTTTAGCTAATGTCCTGTTTAAATGCTCTCTCAGAAGAGAAGGTAACACTTGACTACAGAGAGAAACCACTTACCAGTCAGTACAACTTTTCCAGACACAAAGATAAGCAGCACTATCCTTGGTTTGACCATCCTATAAATAAGGCCAGGGAATAGTTCAGGTTCATAGCTGTTCCAAAGCAAGGAGGTAAGATTAGTAAAAATGAAAATCCTGTTTCAGTGTTGTAGGCATAAAGTGCTCTTTAATTATACTAACAATAGAGTAATTAACCCCACAGATTTCAGCTAGGTACCCAGAGAAATGCAGGTGAGGTTTTAGCCGGCTTGAAGGGAAACCTGGTGATCCCAGCTGGAGCTGGTGGGAGATATTCACACTTTTAAAGACTTCTGAGTCATTCGTGATTTTCTTTAGCAATGAGGCTTTTATCATAATCTTCAAACAGTCCTCAAGTCACAGAATAGTTTGGGTTGGAAGGGAACTTAAGAGATCACCTAGTCCCACCCCCTGCCATGGGCAAGGAATTCTTCCACCAGCCCAGGTTGCTCCAAGCCCCATCCAGCCTGGCCTGGAACACTCCCAGGGATGGAGCAGCCACAGCTTCTCTGGGCAACCTGTGCCAGTGCCTCACCACCCTCACAGTAAATTCTTCCTAGTCTGCAAAGAGCCCTTACCAGGAAGCATCTTGTGCAACTAAGACAAGATGAGAGCCAAGTGCAAATCTTTAATATATATTTATCTCTTAAATTAAATGCCAACTATTAAATGCAGTGTTAATAAGAGACAACTGAATTTTCTTTGTCAGTGCTGAAATCTTCATCCCTTCCTCAGTGATGGCAATAACTAGTTGTGAACAAACTCATCTTGAAGGCACAGCATGTCCATCACTCAGCTACAGGTTTACTTTCACAATTGGTGGTTAATGGACATCCAGACAGAACCAAAACAATAGCCCAGAAACACACTGTAGTTTCAGTTCTGTACTTTGCAAATGCAGTTTGGCTTCATGCCTGAGGGTTGGAAACCTTATCCTTGCAGATAGGCATCTGGTTTGCTGGGAGTGAACAGACCTCTTTAGTATTCAAAGTTCACAATGGAGCAAGGGCATAAATGAGGCTCAAGTAGCTGAAGACCCTGCTCCAAGATACACAGGA